AAATGGGGTTGTGGGATAAACCTTATTCCTCAGTAACCAAAACAATTGAGAATATTTGTTCTTACCATGGAATCAGAAATAAAAGGACCAAAAAATAGGATCACAAAAATTGTGCAGGAACCTCAATGATCTAGGTAAATTCTAAAATTCTGTTTTATGTATTAATCTGGGCACATGGATGTGCACCTATGAATAACCACAGACAGGGCACCTTATTCAATCTTAGAAAATGTGGTTTACACAGCCCTGCAAACAGAGGAATTTGAAAGTACTATATGTCTTCTATCAAGACTTATTCACAACGTGATACTTACTCCTGTCACAAAATGCTAACCACATTTCTCTAGAATATTATTCAACTTTCAATGGCTTTTTCAATTCATATTATTAAAATAGAGTATCTTTTGGGTTCCACTCTTCCCTTAACACCTGTCAACTCTTATTGCCTTAAGAAGGCCTTTAGAAAGGTAGAGTCTTTGCCAGCAGCTGCATTAGATGAGAAAATAAAGGGATAGGAGAGGCTGGGTCTGCAATAAGAGAAAGAAGCTACTAGATATGTGAGGGATTGAGAGGATGTCCTATGACCATTTGAAACCACTATTCCCATATTCAAAAATCCAGGAGGTTTCCTATAGTTTCTATCACAAAATTCCCCAATTGTGTAGCAATGTAGCTTTAAGAGATGGACAGAGAATGTGGACACAACAGGGGTAAAGGTGCCAGACAAAAAGCCAGGGGAGAAATCCTGCCCCTAGGATCTTGCTCCAGACAGAGAAAGTTCTTCTCCCCTAAAGATTGGAAATACCACAAAAGTGGTTTGAGGGCCTTCTCTATGGGGGATTACTATGGAGAATGCTTTTTTACCAATTCAAGCATATTAAGCTCAAATCAATTTTATCTCCCAGAACTATTTCCCTATATACCACAGTAAAGTTTCTAATGTTACAGCCGTACTCAAAACATTATATTAACTGGATATACGTATGTACTTTTCATGCTGTGGCACATGGTTAGCGGTTTTCATCTTCTGACTTTTTTTGTTTATGGTCATCTTAAGCTGCCCACTGGCTATTTTCACTTGACTTCTGTTGATACCTCCAACTTAACCTGCTTCAACAAAATATCTACTGACTTTCCTAATTCCCTTTTTTTGTCTTTCTCCCTCACTTCCTCATCCTGCTTAGGCAGCCAGTCACTCCATTTTGTTAATCCTCCTTTGTAATTTCTCTCACATTCATTTCTCTTCTCATTTTTATGGTGATTTTTTGTTCAGGCCTTGATTGTCTTGTGTTTATACTACCAAAGGAAAAAAAAAATGGTCTTCCTTTTCAGAGCAAAAAGTCTGCAAGTGTACGTAGAGTGGAGACTGATAGAGGAATGATTTTTCTGCATGCTAAGTGACCCCAGGCAAGGTGAGGTCACTTGACATGAGACCATGATATAGGTGAGCTATATTTGGGCAGAGTAGGGCAGTGGAGTAGGGTAGTGGACTCACCAGAGACTGGGCTCTAATCTCTGCCTCTCGGAAACTGGAGCTATGGGTGGAGATGCTTAGTGCCAGGCAGGGTGAGGTGAGCTGACTGAACTGAGGAGAGAGGGCTCAGGAGCAAATCAGGGACTGAGGTTGGAATTCCTGCTCCTTAGTATCTGCAGCTCAGAGTAGGGTCAATACCTCTAGATACTGTGCCCTGCCCTTCCGGCTAAAATTTACCTTTTACTTATTTGTGGCTTCAACTAGAGAGAGTATAAGTTTGTTGGGAACAGATATTATACTTTCTCTTATAACTTGTATGAGCAATACAATATTTTATAGGTGATTGTATTGTTGCTATTATAGATATTATTTTAATAGTCTTCATTTCAAAGTTAAATCTTTTAGCACCTCTTCAAGACCCATTTGGACTCCCTTTGGAGCTGTTTATTTATTAGGTCACTGATGTTTTCTTGAGTTAAATTACATACCTTAGAGTTTATGAGACTTCTGTTCAAAAAGGATACTATCTTCAGGAAGAGATGGGTCTTAAAGTTGTCTTTGAAATACTCAACAATTTACCTGTAACAATATTATGTATCTCCTTTTTTAAAGTCTGTGTTTCAAAGCATAATTTTTGACTTATTTTTCTCAGAATTCAAAGAAGAAAAATTTTGAGTCTTTCATCTGGCCATGGAACAAAGGCTTTTAATTCTCAAGATCATCTCTAAATTTCTAATTTTAATGTCCCTCATAATCTTGTTAGGTGCTGTAATATTATGGCATTTTAACTGATATAAACATTCCCAGAGACTCCTCACCAATACCAATTCAAACTGTAATACTGAGCATGTTTAGCAGTTCTTGTCTTTTCCAAACGAGAAGCCTTTCTGAGAAACATATTCAAATAAAAATTTCAACTTTTGCTTCAAATAATCTACTTGCTACAAATAAGTGTCTCTGAAGAATACTATAATACTTTTCTTAGAGTTACCTGCTTACCTGTTAGTCTGCTGAGATTGGATATACAAATGTTCCAAAACCCAGAGTTTTTGCCTCAAGTTCACTTTGTAGTACACGACTCCTCATCTCAATTGTCATAGGAACTTAAACATTAAACCTCAGAGTGTGGTGCCCTATGTGCCTTTTCAAAAACAACAAAGCACATTGTGACTACTAGATGAGATAAAACTTGAAATGACAAAATAAAAAAGTCAACCCTGATTTATTTTCAGTGCTTGAATTTTTGACTTCCAATCACCCCACTAAACGCTTCTTCATTATTAACTCTGAATTATAAGAATCATTGACTATTGATTGAGCACTCAAGAGGACTGGTTGTGAGATCCAACTTTGCAAATAATTTGCTGGATGATTTTGAGCGAGTCATTTAATCTCTGCAGTTCTTTTTTTTTTAAACGGCATTTATTTTTTATTTCAGCATATTATGGGGGTACAGATGTTTAGGTTATGTATGTTGCCCTTATTCCCCCTTCCCCCCAAGTCCAAGTTTCAAGCGTGCCCATCCCTCGGATGGTGCGCATTGCAATCTTTGTGTATGCATATACCCGTCCCCTCCTCCCCCCCT